ATAATAATAATAATAGTAATAATTATTTCAACGGATCAACAATGCAAATATATAATTGATAATATAATATTTAAACAGAATGTGTGTTTTATTATTATTGTTTTTTTACAACTAAATAATGAATTATAATACCCAATGTTTCTGCAGTCAGTCTGTATATATTATATATTATTTGTTAGAGCCTATTATATATATTATATGTAGTGTGTAACAACAAATATCATCAACTGTAAAAAATAAAAGGAAAAAAAACGAACGAAAACTATTACATACGCAGTTATAACAGTAGAAAATGTGTGTGTAAATAGAGTAATATTATAATGCGATTCAAATAATAATAATATATATCATTTCAGGTTCCTAAGTAGTAAGTTAAGGCCCTTCGTTATTATAATATATAATACATATTATATTGTTTATGATAATAATATATAACCGATCACATATTTAATGATAATATAATAATAAAATATTTCAAAAGAGACACATTTTTGTGTGAATAGAATAATTAAATGATAGTCAGTTGTTGTTGGTTGTTCAAGTATATTCAACTTTTGTTATTATTATTATTTTTTTTATTTTTTTTGTTGATAGTTTTGCCTAAAAGAAGTATTTCATACCCATCCAACACTAATAATATTAAAAAAAACTTAAATTCAAAAAAACGAAGACTAGTATACCATCAATATTTAAATAAATAATAATAAACAAACATACATTCACACTATGTGTGTCGTTAGAGTTTGTATACACAGAGGGGAAAATCGTATATTATGTATTATATTTTACTCTCCGATTATGTACGTGTTGTTCCCCCGCACACGGGCAAGTAATAACTCATTACGAGTGCACATGAAATAATAATAATAATGTTTGTTGATTTTATAATGATATGTCCTTATAAGTATAATAATTACATAGATTCATTAAATTTAAAATTAAAATTAAAAAAAAATTATGTAGATCAATTATGTCAGTCAAATTGCAAGTACGCAAAAAGTAAATATATAAGATAACGACGTTTTTTTGTTGTTTTTTTCGTGTTTTACCAAGAATTATCATACCAATACAATTATTTTATACATCAAAGTGCCATTTTTTTGGCGGGAAAAACCCGTGTTTTTCTCCACGAGTCAGAAAAATTACTTATACGAAAAAAAAAATAGTTTGAAAATAAAACCGAAAAAGTTCAAACCACCCCCACGCTCAACGTGGCTATAATGCAGTTATTAAATAATGCTAACAGCTACCACTAAGACTACTGAGTACTACTCGGATGACACTCGACCCCAGGTGCACTGGAAACGAGCGGATAGACGAATGGAACGCGCGTATTCTCCGTGTGCATTTCCGGTCGTTTCCAGTGCAACGGCACGCGGTAGCTTCGACACAATAAAAACAGCAACAACAACATCAAAAACAACAACAACAACAACAACGGTGTTTGATAATAATGATAATGATATAATATTATAATATGTATGTATATATATATACGCTAAGCTATCGTAATATTATTTACACACATATATGTATGTATGTATATTATATATATATATATAAATATATATTTAATAATATTATATATACATAATATTGTATGCTGCTCGCTCGTCACGTCACGTACATCAGGTATTACACCTGTTGCAGCACAATACGACGACAACAGCATAGTATAAGCGATTGACCGGATTGATCAGAGATTATATTATTATAATAATATTATGTTATTCGCCTATATACCGTGTTTGCGGTAACTGTCGGCGACGGTGACGGGGCAGGCGACGGCGACGACGACGACGACGATGACGATGACGACTGGTAACCGTTACAGACGACCGGTGCTGATGACCGCGACCGTGGTTTCGACGGGAGTGGAGACTCGGACGGCGATGGCGTCGCTGCTACAGTGGCGGCAAAGGTTTTCATCAGACGTTTTAACGCCACCGCCGAGCCCCTGTGTTGCAGGCTCTTGTGCGTTGTCAGGCTGTTCTTGGTGCGGTACCGCCGTCGGCAGAACTCGCACACGTACAGAGTGTCGGACCGCTCGTGCTTGTCCTGGAAGTGTCTTTTCAGAGAGTAGTAGCAGCTGAACGTCCGGCGGCAGTGCGGACAGTCTTGTGGTTCGTTGATGCCGCCGTTGGCTGGCGGTGGTAGTATCTGATACCCTGTCGGAGACGAACAAAAAAAACAAAAAAATTTCGATCGTATAAAATATTATTTTACTTATAACATGATGATAACATTTTAATATAATCATTGTATTATGTAATATGTATTATACGAAAGTAATCGTCCGGGAGTGATGTATCATTACTATCATCATCARTGTTGTATACGAGAGACGCATTTATTATATTGTTATTATTATATAGTATCTAAAATGTAAATTTAAAATTAAAATTTTTGTTTCAGCGTTACTTAAAAAAAAAAAAGCAACGGAGTTACCCTATTTATATAAAACTAATTTATGTAAATATTCTTAAAGTTGAATTATTAATTCCCATCGAGTATTCAAATAGTTACCCAAGTCTTAAAGTTTAGGCGAGAAACGGTAGCGAGGAGCGTTATTATTAA